TCCGGAGCAAAGTGGGTGCTATCGTCATTGTGTTGATGAGAACATTGAAAGGAGAAACCACTATTTGGATCTTGCAGGAATAGAAAACTACACATCAAAGTTTGGGCCAGGTAATTTGGTAATTTATGTTGCAACCTTTTTATCTTTTCTTTCTTCAGTTCCATGTTCCGCATCAGGGACAGTGAATTGTGAACCTACGTGATTTGTCTATAGTGACTTACTGGAAGGTATAGGACTCTGTGAATAGTGCAAGATAATTACTGGTGAAGGTGGTATCACAACAGAGTGGCTAATGTGCTGCAAGCCTGCTTTGAAGTACTTGTTTGTGTAGCTAAACTTGGAGGTGAGCCTGGGAGAACAATCTTTACATCTCAATTATTAAGTTTAGTCTATGGGTGAGGCAAGGAGTGATCTTTGAATGTTGGAGCTCATTCCCAAGATGATAGCCACACATATTTTGTACTCACTACTGACCCAAAAATTGGAGAATATGAGTTCATACCTGGAATTTTGGCTTCTGTCTCCAAATTAAAGGGATCTGGATTTCCTCCCTTTCCCTGTTCTCTTCCAAGATTTTACTATTCCACTCACAGTTATTTTGGTGAATTTCAGATAGATGATGACCAAGAGAAGGTAATGTAAAGATTTTTATAAACACGCAGATGCACAAAAACACACGCTTTTGTATAGACAGACATGTATATTTGTGTGTATATTATTTGCTAGTCAGAATTATTAAATGTAATTAAACTAGACAGCTATAATTGCATTCACTTCCTTAGGAAAAATTAACTCTGCCGATAATGCTATCCCTGCCAACTGAATGCTACTAATTAAAACTTTGAAATACTAGATGACTAACTCAGCTTGTTATTTCCTAGGATCTCCTCCAGCAGCTCAAAAACATGACCCACCAAGCAGAGTTGTGAATCAGACTAGATCCCGTTCTCATGAACCTGAAACCTTCCATGCTCACCATAGGAAATCTCAAGTGGTGGATCCGAGCCACATCAATCTGGCTGAGAGTTCGTATGCCAAGATTGCAGAAATCCAGCAGCGGCTCCGGAATCAGGACTCAAACAAGCACTTTGTGAGGTCTCCCAAGGCCCAGGGCAAAAACGTTGCCCCTGTGCATCCTGGAAGGGCAGTAAGAAATAAACCTTTCCAAGGGGCGCCCATGCCAATGGCTTCCCCAAGTGCACGGATGGGCCAGAATCTCCCTTACCTCCCCTTGCAATCCCAACAGGCTCACAAGAAGCATAAGCAGAGGGTGAAGGAGAATCACCAAATGTGCAAAACCTTCCAGTCTCCAGGGACAGTTGTGGAAAAGGAACATGTGAGAGACCTGCCCACAGTCATTTTATATGAAGGCCAAGTTGGACAAATGATACAGAGACATGAACACCATCACCACCATGAGCACCACCACCACTACCATCACTTCTACCAGACATAGAAGAGATTCCACCAGCATCCTCCAAGAGTCATCCCATATGAAGGAAATGCGTTCTTGTGATACCAGAACTAAGGCATTACTATGATTAATGTTATTGTTACTCCATTAATATTCAGCTAGCATATATTTTAGAGGTTATATGGAACTCTTGAAACGTACCCTATTTATATGTTGTGGAACTGCATAGCTTACTTAAACACCTTGTGGAATTTTTTTTTTTTAAGTGGCTTGTAAAACAGCAAACAGCCATAGCTTTTTGAGCTGTGATTTAATACAGGTCGTCAACGCACTTCTTTACCAGTACTACTTCCATTGTAGTAGGAAAGATACTTCAAACACTATTGCAGACATCTAGCTTACCAGTCTGCTGTATGTCGGCTGATCGCACACAAGCCTTTTATCAGGGGAGCAATGTTCGAAGGGTTGGGCTCCAGAGATACTCAGAATAACAGAAAATACAAACAGCTGCTACCTCTAGTATTATTCAGATTTTATTTTCTTTTTATTGATTGTAATGTGCTACAGGGGAGATTTTAATATACTGCATTCATGTAGCCTGTTTGTGTTCACATCCTTTCAAATTATCTTAATAATTACAAGAAAAATATTAGCTATACTTGTCAACAGAGCTACATTTGTACAACTTCTGCTTTATTTTCTTGGAGATTCTTCACTGACACAAGTACAGTCTGTTATATACTGGGTAATATTTAAATATACTTCTTTTATTTTTGGTTTTTCTCTTGCTTACTCTCCATTCTGGTTTTGGGGTAACCATTTGAAAAGAGGAGGATGTGAAATGGGGTTTTCAAAAGCATCACTAGACTTTAGTGCTTAGGCCATAAGTATCATTCATGAGGGTTTGAGGAGAGGGGTTGTTTGGGGTTTTTGTTGTGTTTAAATCCACAGTTCTTTGTTTTGAGAAAGAATTGAGGAAAATATACTTTCTCACTTTAAATGTTGGCAAATATATATAAA